GATGATGTGGGCAGGGCATGTAGCAGGAATGGGGGAGACGAAGAATGCGTATAGGATATTGGTGGGAAAGCCAGAAGGAAAGACACCACAGGGAAGACCAAGGCGTAGGTGGGTGGACAATATAAATGGATCTTAAGAGAGATAGGATGCGATGGTATGGATTGGATTGATCTGGCTCAGGATAGGGACCAGTAGAGGGCTCTTGTGAACACGGTGATGAACCTTCGGGTTCCATAAAATGCTGGGAAATTCTTGAGTAGCTGCAGAATTGGCGGCTCCTCAAGAAGGGCTCAGCTCCATGAGTAAGTAAGTAAGTAAGTAATATAATTTGTCATTATTCACTGCCCTCCTTTAGTTCTTGACTATTCATTGCAGAATTTTGGTCGTTACATGTAATTACCAAGCTCATGAGCGCTTCTGTAGAATATATTGCCCCGAAAAACTGGTAAGAGATGAGAGCCTCTACTATTCACTTACCGTAGCTATACACCACTACTCATGTCGGAGGTTGGTAGCCTTGCGAGAATAATGAGGTGGACAGTCCCCCCTCCCTTCCTTCTCTCTTGACTGAATGAGGGGGCGAATACCCCACGGCGGTAGGGACAGAGTCTGGTCACAGTCCGTAGGAGGAGGTTGATTGTCGAGGTCAAAAGAGACGCGGAGGTAGTAGATAGCCCTGGTCAGCACATTCTTGCAGCCTTGTAAAGAAGTGATTACACAGAGCCATTTATTTATTAGAACATCAATTATTTTCATGTGACAAGCATTTAACAGTAAAGTGATCGCCTGAAAATTGCACATTGGAAGTGAGAGATGCATTTGTGTAGTCGTACAAACCCACGCTAATATCTCACAGCAAGGAGGCATCTTCAGTCGCCGCTTATTATAGGTGAGGTTCACACGATAAGCAAGGTTTGGTGGAGTGAAGAAGCTTATTAACAGTTCTCTGATATCCGCTCACACCGTAATTTTAAACCGACTTATGTATTTCATAGTTTAAAGAAGAGCTGGAAGGTGAACTGCGTACGCCGATTGAGTCCTCACATTTTCGATATATTTCTTAGCGATTTTGCGTATTTCATTGTATTGCATTGAAGTTTACTGTTGTAAAAAACACCGATACGACATTGTAATGAAACACAAATCAAATCCTTTTATCTAATTTAATATGATTCCACCGAAAAATGTTGACATGCAGACATTGTAAATTTTAATCAGAAGTATATTTGTGTTTCGTGTACGTTTGTTTTCCATGATTAGACGTGTAAATAAAATTTGCGACGTTCGGCTTTTGGACTCAGGATCCGTTCGTTCAAATCTGTAGGAGACTTAAGATACGGACGGACGGATACACAGACACGATAGCCCCCACTCCTTCGTCACTGCGACGAACGTAAACACATTACGATACTCGGCTCCCCACATATCTTCACAAAGAGAGGAACGTTCTGTAAAGCTAAATGCAGCAGATCTTTGATTTACGACAATGGTAGTAAACTGGAAACCTTGCTATGTAGTTTATCAACATAGCATCCGGGCGTGTTGAGGCAAATGGGATGGGATCTGCTGCTTCAGTGGCGGCTTGAAGCATACAGCGTTCTTTTTCATTTCATGCATCCCGTTGTATTATAATATACAATTTCTTTATTAAAACCGTCACAACACAACTATATTAAGGTCAGTGCCTAGTTGGGCTCTGCTACATGTTTCGGCTATTAAAAGCCATCATCAGGCAAATACATGGCTAACATACATACACCACTGAACTGCAGTACTAATAAAATTGGATACAATAATATTAATTATATTAAAATACTTTGGGTAAAAATACAATAAATTAGATTATATAAAACAAAAGTTATAGTATAAAACAAGAATAAAAATTCTTCGAGTGATGCTTTACATCATCGAGTCAGTCGTTGGTTTTTGTAATTTTGTTGTGTTCCCATGGACAAATTGGAGTATTCTATATTTTGTGTATATATAATAAACTGTTTTGGAAGCTCGTGATGTAGATGTAGTAATATTAATGTTAATTATTTAGTCGGTGCCTCATCTTACAAAGTATGTCCGTTCTGTAGGGAATGTAAACAACAACAAAGAAACTAAATCAGATATCTCAATAAAAACATTAAATTAAAAGAAAATCGCAAATAACAGAAAATAGAATTTTAAAATATTCATATAGATAGCCAACACAAAGCCCACAAGACAAATAAAATGAAAACATTATAAAAAAATCACAGCTTATCCCCCAGTATCTTCACCACATATTAATCCAAACAAATAAAAATGAAAACTAAACAGAAAGTGTGAATTAAATTCATTTCTGAGTCGTTTTATAAGTGTTCACAATGATACCACTAGATTTCTTATATTTTTTTCATTAGGTTTTTGTATAATTCATTTAAAATTGCACCCAAGCAGAAAACATTGTAAGATAAGTGTACCCATGTCATGCAATTTTGTCACTTGCAGCCATATCATATTTTGCATGTAATCCTACAGAAGCAGTAGTATATTCAGCACAACAGGACATGTGTGTTGACTGAAATTGGTGCTGTGAAAAAGGCTCATATTGACAGAAGAGCCATTCTTCTGAAATATCAAAATATTGGTACAATTTCTGTGTTGTATATATACTTCAGCAGTTGATGGAGAGAGGAAAAGGCAAAACAATGTTGAGATGAAAGTCTGACTGAACTGTTCCTCTTCTTGCTTGTCTTCAGAAATATGTCTGAAGAGAATTTTCTTTTTCCAGATCTTAACAGAATGTTGCGGTGGTTATCAGTATTTGTGGTGGCAATTGCCACTTTCTACTTTATGGATGCTGTGAACAGTTGCAATGAGGCAGTGTGTGCAAGTGTTGTTAGCAAGTGCATGCTCACGCAGTCCTGTAAGTGTGATCTGAAGAATTGCTCATGCTGCAAGGAATGTTTTAACTGCCTTGGGGACCTTTACAGTGAATGCTGCTCCTGTGTAGGTCAGTGAAAACTATACTCATTCTTTTTAGGGATGCTTCAATATTTATTTTTATTCACACCAAGCTATACTACATTTTATTGCTCATAAATATTACTGCAGGAATGGCTGATAAGTTTATTTAATATACACAGTTCATTTTGATTCTTTAGTTCATTATCCTTCTGCATATAAAGTGCTAATCCTCCTTTTCTTAAAAGACAATGATGCATAGTAATGCTTCCTGTGTAGAAAGAAAAGTTACTATACTTAGATGTAACAAAAGTGGTAGAGTGATGGTTTTAATGAAGAATGCCGTCTTATGGGATATGGTGACATGTATATCTTGTGTGAACCAACATTTCGCAGATTCTTCTGCCCTGAAGATGGAGGTGATATGTTCCTCTGAATCGTTGGTTCACACAATATCTACACGGCGCCGTGAAAACCCCAAATTTTACATGATAATTTTAATGCTCTTTGATGGAATATAAATGCTGATAAAAGAAAAAATTAAAGCTATTTCGGAAACAGGCCGTGGAGGTCCATAGGATTGTGAGACATCAAGGCTCCATCATTTTCTAAATAGTTGCCTCATGGGTGGCAGTGAGGTTGTCACTCTTATGCGCCAGCCACCCTTTACCTGCCAGGAAGATTCCTGGTACTCATTTCTGTTAGAGGCTAAGCAGACCCCAGGGCCATAGTGACTGGAAGGATTACGTCAATTGAGAAATCCAGTGACCTTATTGGGAAACGAACCTGCGACCTTCATATCTTTTATGTTCTTGTGACATAAGATTGTCTTTGAAAGAGAATAAATGAACGTAAGACAGAATGGATGGCAATTGTAATATAAATATGACTTACTCAGTGGATGTCCAGAGTTATTAATTATAAATGAGACAATAATTTACTGATAAAAATGAGTTCCTGCACAGTAGTTTCCAGTTTTAAGAGCATCTTGTGGATAATGCTCTTTTGTAGTGGAGCAGTATGGAAACAGTTTCTGAAAGCCACCTGACACTGAACGATCCTGTAACCCAGTATAAACTAGTGTGAGGAAAACATGCTGTTCATTCTTGTACTGTATTTTGCCACACATCATGTGGAATTACAGACCAAAGGAAATGGTGTGAAGTGGGAAGTCTGGCAAATTTTATTTTTATTTGTAAATTATTTTTTGATTATTATTAATTTGGGACCTCCTCTAAGATAATGACTATATATACAGGGTGTCCCAGGAGGAATGGACCAAACTTCGGGAGGGTGTTCCTTATGTTAAAGTATGCCGATATAACCCAAAACACCTATGTCCAAAGTTGAACGGTTACGGAGATAATGGCCCAAGAAAAGTGTGGTCTTCTGGCAGGTGCATGCACTGTACCTCTCAGCTGAGAGGCCTTATCTATGTTTGTCCTTGAGTGCCGTGATTCACCCTAGCCGTACGTATGTAGTTGGCTTTATCAGAACGCGCAGTCAGTCATATTACGTCAGCACTTGCCATTCATGTGTCATGTATAGTGCTTGGAAACTCTAAGGACAATTATGACATGGCGAGCGAGTATTTTGTACTTCAATTTTATGGCTTCATGTCACTCACAAGTTAGTTTGATGTTACGTACATTATTAACATTACAGAATCCACATATTCCTGCCAGTTTTAATATGTATTTTGTAATCAACAAGTGTGCAACGCCGGTCAAAGTTTGACACTTCTCTGGCCATTATCTCCGTAACCGTTCAACTTTGGACATAGGTGTTTTGGGTTATATCGGCATACTTTAACATAAGGAACACCCTCCCGAAGTTTGGTCCATTCCTCCTGGGACACTCTGTATATATACATATATGTAGCACAGTATTGCTTATATTATTACCTTTAAAACATTCTGGTTTCCCAGACATGTGTCCGAAGCCTAATATCACAGGCAGTAGCCTGAGCAAGAAGAGCCATGTGGAGATATTCAGTGACCCTATCCCAGCGTTGTTTTCTGCACTCATGTCTGAACCTGATACTCAGCAGCGGTGGATCACTTTCACTTTTCCTGTTGACTTTTATATGGATCCATATCGGCCAAAGTTGGAAAAGGAGTTCAAGTACTGGACTCGTAAGTCACTATTCATTACTGAACAGGTCCACGTCAAAGTGACTGCCTCTGGGTCTGGTTGCTGTGAACTGTACACATTGTCACTTTTATATCTTATTCAGATGTTCCATGTGGTATTTATTTCTTGAAAAAAAAAGTCCCTTGTACTGCAGCCACTTCTGGCCTATTGTACCAGCCCCAGATGATAGGTGAGGGTGATTGTGGAGCAATTGGTGGAATGAAGATTGGCAGGGGAAACCGAAGTACTTAGAGAAAACCTGCCCCAGCACCACTTTGTCCAACACAAATCCCATTTGACCAGACCCGGGATGGAACCTGGGCCGCTGCAGTGGGAAGCCAGTGACTAACCGCTTGAGCTGTGGCACGTACATTCTGGCTTCCTTACTCTAATGGAAACGTCCAGTACCAATTTAGTTGGTGGCACGGTTGACCTCGTAGCTAGTCTGAACCTGGTGGTGAAGAGAAAAGTCCCTTCCCATACCAGGAATCATATCCCAGCAATCCAACCCATGGCATATCACTTTACTGACTGGACTATTGCTCCTCACATATTTATTTGTATTGAGAATTAATTACAATTTGTCATAAATCTTAGATAATGCACTGTTATATAAAACTGTATTTTCATGAATTTGATCTGATACTTTCAATGCATTTGGTATCATTAAAATGGAGTCACCTTACAACCGAAATCCAACCTGTAATCTCATGAATGCAATATAGGTATGTAGAAGTTGACATTGCATAGTGATACTGTAGTTAGTAAGCATGCTAGTCAAGGGGTAGGAAGTTGTGGATCCAAACAAGGATTTGAGGAGAAGGTGAGGAGTAAAGGTCATGCTGAGACCCAAGACAAATGTGCAGTGTGTGAGTATGTGTGTAACTGTAGATTTAGTGGATATTCCATTCATCCTACGGTACAGTAAACTTAGACTACAAAATATTTATTAAGTTTAGTGACAATTTGAGTCATTTTAAATGTTTGTACACTCTGTAGCCCGGTTTTATCGTTACTGAATGAAGCGTATACACTGTCTATCCTGTTCCACCTAGTGTGAACTGCATGTTTCCTGAGACAAGTAGAGTATCACCTATGTCACCATGCACCAAAAGTCAGTCTTCTGTGTGAGTAGGAGGCAGCTAAAGCTCCAGTGGCAATGTGAAATGTTCCTGAACATGATGTATAAAGTAACACACTCCTTGGAGCAGAGCTCTTCTCGAGAAGCTACAAGAAATTGCCCACCATTTATGTTACCTGCAAGTTCACTGCAGTATTCAAAAGAGCCCATCACTAGACTCTATCCTGAGCCACATCCTCACACTCTTTTCTTAAGATCCATATCAATTATTGCTTAGTATCTGTGTCTCTGTCTCCTAACTTCCCTTCTAAAACTCCGTGGCCNATAACAAATAAAAACACGACGTTTCGGAAACTGGATCTGTTTCCATCCTCAGGTGAAGGAAAAGGGAAACACCTTTGTCCAGTGACTGAGGCTAGCTCTTTCTAACGGACCCAACAGAAACACCTATTCTGTTGGGTCCATTAGAAAGAAATAGCCTCAATCACCGGACGAAGGTGTTTCCCTTTTCCTTCACCTGAGGATGGAAACAGATCCAGTTTCCGAAACGTCGTGTTTTTATTTGTTATCTTAAAAACCAGGACGATGGATAAAGTCCAGAAACCCAATATATCAGTGTAAATTTTATATGCATTTCTTACCTCTCCCCTATGTGCTACATTACTTCCCCACCTTGCTCTCCTTAATTATACCACATTAATATTTCCTGAGATGGGCAGGGAATGTAGCACGAATGTTGGCGAAGAGGAATGCATATAGGATATTTGTGGGAAAGCCAGAAGGGAAGAGACTACTGGGATGACCAAGGTGTATGTGGGTGGACAATATTAAAATGGGTCTTAGAGAGATATGATGGGATGTATGGATGGGATTGATTTGGCTCAGGATAGGGACCAGTGAAGGGCTCTTATAAACACGGCAATGAACCTTCATGTTCCATAAAATGCTGGGAAGTTCTTGAGTAGCTGCAGAATTGGCGGCTCCTCAAAAAGGGTTCAGCTCCATTAGTAAGTAAGTAAATACAAATTTTTAAGTTTGAATTATATAGTTTTCTCCAGTTTTCTGTTTCTTCCTCTCTTAGGTCCACATATTCTCCTCAGCACTCTGTCTTCAAACATCCTCAATCCATATTCTTCAGTTAGGGTGAGAAATGAAGCCTGTAGATTAAGTCCATATAAAAATATTACTCATCCAACACATTATGATTTGAAGAGAGACATTTACTGTACATAAGGAGAGTGCAACAAGAGCTGAGATGCATTGGCATCATCACACACCACCATTTAAGTAATACTGTAACAATTCCAGGATTTGAGTGAAATTGTTATGGCCAAATAATAATACAAACATATATTTTTCCACACAGAAATGACCCACTGAAGGAAGTTTCTATCTACATTTCTTTGATGTGTTATAGTTTTACCAGTGTCTTTGTATGTTCCTATTTAGACCAGGATCATCATTCAGCATGTCTGAAATTGTAAAAAGACTTTCTCATCTAGTCTCTTCAGGATATGTATGAAGCAGGAATAACCATGGGTGAGGAAAAAGGACTGGCAAGTAACATATGTAGTTCACAATCACATGATGACCCACACAAGTTCCATTATACATCACATTTGATTCTGAGTGACATTTACTGTGGCATGAATTGCACTCACATGTACTTTCTCGGCCATCTTCCAGCAGGAAGCTGATATCATGCCCTGGTCAGGGTTTGTTGATGTTTGCTCCATAGTTACCCTGAGTACAGCCTTTGTCCATTTCTATGCCTATTTTGATATTTCCCTCATTATCTGTAAGGAAAACTATGCATTATCTATATGAAGTTTATGTTGTAACTGAACAGCAAAGTTCAGAAATGCCAAGAGACTGAAACACATGGGAGCAGAGGCCAGTACTAGATAAAGGCTGCATATATCACTCCACTGACAAAATATCCTGCTTGTACTCATTGTAATACATTTAGGTTGAATAACAGAACCTCATTTAGCTTTGTGTCTTGAGTGTGTGTTGCTTACATTCTTATTTTTGTCCTGGTTTAAGGTGTTTGAGTGACATCACAGGTTCAAAGATTGCCGTAAATTATTGGAAGATGGTAGCAGATGGCAGAGCAAGGACAGTGTGAGATGGATGCAGGAGGTTTTTGCTATGACCATTATCTGATGGTAGAGACAGTTTCGGAGAAAGCTGAAATTTTGGTTGATAGTTGCCACATCATTGTCAACAAGGCCACATATATAAAATTTGCAAAACCAGTTGACACTTGAAATCAATAAAGAAAACTCGAAATGAAACCCATGCATAGAAATGTTGCACAGACATGGAACTTGAACAGTTCTTAGTTTAAAGATAGAAGCCCTGAGGGAAGGAGTTGGCTTTGGAAAGCCAACAATCGTCAAAAGTTGGAAAAAGAAAAATGTAAACACTTGGTGAGGAGGTGGATACACTGAGAAGACATGAACAACACAAAATTTGAAAGACTAAAAGCCTGTACAATAGGAGAGTATGCTCTGTGAGTTCTGTCTGGAAGGCCCTGCTGAGTTCCTGTCAGTCGTTTGCCACAAACAAATGGCTGCTCCATATGTTTAAAAAAATTGCAATAAGACATATGGGGCAGCAAGCAGGCTACAAATACAATCTCAACTGTTGAAACTAATAATGGTAGACTATGTAATGTCAGCTGAGAAATAATTTGATCATGTGCTCTGACTGTATGCACAGAGAAAGATGATCATGGTGGCAAGTGTCTGAAATCTCTACTGTTTTTTTTGACCCATGTACACAGAGCCTTAAAACTTGTCTATAGTGACTCATAACACGTGACAGTATTTATTTTACTTTGTCCTGCCTTGTTTCTTTGTGATAGTGCAAAATCAGTATTTCTTACAATTGTTGTTTTCTGTGAATCTGAGTTTTTCTGCTGCATGTCACACACTTCATTCCATTCTGTTATGACTGGAGTGATAAAGAATGATAGTTTATGATAACGAAATGATTAATGTTTTTATGTGAGCAGCAAGAGAAATCACTTTATACACATGAAACATAAACTTGTAAAGCTGACATATTTTATGAAATGAAAATGTATTTACTTTGGCACTGGTTGCCCCAACATTACACTGTACAGTATAGTTTGTTTGGTTGCATTTATGTGGTCTGTTGTTTGGTTGTGCAGAGAGTGCAGAGCAGGAAGTGGCTCCAGTGAAGGATGTCATCACGCTCAACTGCACAGTTGCTTACATGAGCCAGTGTATGTCTTGGAATAAGTGCAAACAGTCATGTAAATCAACAGGGGCCCAGAGCTACAGATGGTTTCATGATGGGTGTTGTGAATGTGTTGGAGAAACTTGTATCAACTTTGGAATTGATGAGAGCAGGTAGGAGATTTATTTATCCCCCCCCCCATATGACATGACTGAGGATGAGATTAGCATCACCTCTTACCGTAAGAGGGAGAAAGCATGTTGATGATGAAGGAACATTGTCATTAAATGTTCATCCATATGGATAGGCTAATGTGATATCAGCTAACACAGACAGATGACAGATGGCAACACTGTTATATCCTATTTTCACACTAAGTTATATATCACATAGTCAAAGGGTTCTCGAACTTTTACTTACATAAGCAAACCCATCATCATGGTGTGTTGTACTGCACGCTGCTGTATAGGTGGGATGGTCAATTTTGGCCGGTGGATCTCTGATGCATAGTGGTCTGACGCAAGTCGGCAAGCCTAAGATTGGTGAGCATGCGCAGCGACACTATTTTGCCTCAGTAAGAAGGTAGACGTTGAGCTCATAGGATCGCTGATATTAGTAGATACTGTGTGCTTTTCCCATGTGGCAGTTGCCCTCTTCGAATATTGTCTCCCTTTTATGGCATCAACATAGGGTGAAGACTGGACTAATTATGTTTCTGTATTAATTTAAATACAGCCCTTCTTTTTATTACTGTGTCCCTGAATTTGGTATCCAGAATAATGGTGAATTCTGGTCTAATTTCTGATGGGATAACATTAAATTTACTTTGAAGCATTATTTTAGGTGTCTGAACTGCCCAATGCAAAAGGAAGAAGAAGAAGAAATTGGTGAAGATGAGACTTCCTACATATATGACAATGAAGATAATGAACATAAGGAAAAAGGAGATTCTCCCAAGAATCAGTGAGACAAATGTGAATGACAAAGGAATTGTAATATCACAGACAATCAGAGGTTATGTGCATGTGTTTTAGTGAATGGTAATCAGACGTGAACAGTAATTATGTTTTGCCTTATATTTTGGAGTCCTCTTAAGTTGTCATGCTATCAGGATGCAAATAGAAGGCAACTGCAAGAAGAGCTGTGAATGTTCACAGTGTGACTTTGATTAAGTCACCTTACCGAGACACCTTTGCATGTTCTATATTCAATTTTGAATATTTATTATCATCACTGATAAAAGATAATTACTTTTTATATAAAACTTATATTGTAGTTTGTTTATAATTCAATATAAAGAACTGTGAATATTGAAAGAATCTGACATCAGGAAGGGACTGACTTAAATGTGTTCATTTAAATACTCCTCCTATATTTGTACTGTTGGTAATGGTTCCAGCACTTTTTCTTTTTCTGGGGTATGTATACCATTAATCAACTGATACATAGTGCAACCTTATCAAGAGACACATTTCTGCTGGTGTATTGTGTTTTGAACTTGAGGCTAAACCCAAGTATGAGAGCATGAGCAAACCTTTCTTAAGAGAGAAGGAGAGAATATAAAGCACTGAGGGGTTCTGTTAGTAGAGATTTGTATTAATGGTTTTAATCTGTTACACAGAGTGATTCAAAAGTCATGCAGTATTCATTGCATTATTACTTTATTAATGTAATATAGATTAGAAGGAAGGTTTTAGCAAATGTTAGAGTATAATAAGGTTACAACAAATGTTGAAAGGGTCCTCAGTATTCCTAAATGTAAGCACAAACTTTTTTCACCATGTTTCCTGAGGCATCATATAGCATTTGAAAATTTATATTTGAAACTTAATATTCAGCATCACTTTGTAACTCCTGCAATGCTTGTAAAATGAAAATCAAGAGTAGTTATGTCAGGAGATCTTGAAAGTAAGGTGATCACCAAAAAATCTCCCAGTTAGATCATTTTTTAATTTTAAGTATGACACAATGCAGTGTCTTGCAGTGACAGTTCATCCTCTTCCAGAAATGAAATGAACTGTCATGGTATGCTTGTGTATTTTCCTGTTCGCTGTATCCTTGAAAAGTCATCCCACCAGTCATTGATGAGAAACAGCTCACCAAAACCCGGTGTTTTTGGGGGGGGGAAATAGAGACAGTTCATGGAAGACAAATGTTTACTATTCCAGTATGATGACTGTTGACATACCTGCCAAGGTGAAACTGTGCTTCATCACTAAAGAAAGTACTGCTCAATATAACCAGTGAATTTTCCTTGTTGAATACACAAAACCACTGACAATAACATTAGGTGGGCTGTTCTACACATCTGCATAACATGGTGCTCAGTGAAGACATAAGCTAATGAATCAAATCATATTATGTGTGGCTAATCAGTGTATATTAAATTAATAAAAATTTACTCTCTATGAAATTAAAAAATTATTTTTGTAGATTTCTGTACTGTGAATGAATGAATGAATGAATGGATGGATGTATAAGGGGTGGGCCTTCTCGGCCCTTGCGCTGCAACTNTTAAAAAATTATTTTTGTAGATTTCTGTACTGTGAATGAATGAATGGATGGATGTATAAGGGGTGGGTCTTCTTGGCCCTTGCACCGCAACCTACAGTGATCTATTGTGCTTTCTGTACTATACACTTCAGAATTAAAGTCATTTTGACAATCTTTTTTCTTGTATATTTATGTATGAAATTTTTGCTTATTCTCATTAGAGGTAATTGCTTGAAATATTTATACAGTAAGATACTCTCTCCTTCATAGAAACCTGCTTAGTGCATAACAAATACAATCATTCAACTGAGCAATTGATTTGGTATTATTCATCAATTGAATGGCAGTTTTCTTTTAATTATACCCTTTCTTTCCCTTTTGAAATTTTATACATTTTTATTGACTGCATCATCACTATAAGCTAAATATTCCTGACAATTCTGGTAACAGTGACTTTTTTAGTGCTCATGTTACATTTAAATGAGTACTGATCTGTAATTCTGGAAAGAAGGTGAAACTGTCACATTTACAGCTTGTACCTTCTGTGTCGAGAATGTGTAATGTCAAATGTAATGTAATTGACATAGTTGTTATGCAGATATTGATGTTTAAATATGTCTTATGATCAGGTGGTTCTTTCTGTAAAAAAGATTGTAACAGGTGATTTCCAATACAGGTTTCACTGCAGTTTATATGAATATATTTATTATATTCCTAAGTAAATGCAAAATCCTGATGTAGCTGATATTTAAAAATGTGTGATCTTTAAATCTGGACAAGCAGTACTTTTACTCTTCCAGCTGCTTCCGTATTATGTCAGTGATTATTGAGATTTACAAAACTGAAGTCAATGACAATTTACTTGTAGATTTATACTGCTGAAATTGTTTGCAATCGTTATGTGAATATGGCTAGCATGACGCTTTTTCAAGCATCAGCTTATGAGAATTGTTTTGAGGATCAACAGACTGAAATTTGGTTTTATAATCCCTCCAAGGGAACAAGGTCTACAGTGATTAAATTTTTTTAGCTCATTGAACACTGTCATAGTTTGAATTGCTATATTATGAAGAATGAGATTTTGACCTGTGAAATTGGTAGAGTGAAACAGATGACATGATATACAGCAAAGCTTCTTGCTCAGTTTCTGACTAGAAAAAGGAAGTCTGTATGGTATATCTGGTTAAGACAGTAGGAGCAGTTTTCACCTAACAGATACAGCTGGAAGTCTTTTTCATTCGTGCTGATATAACTATTGGACTGGAGATCTAATTGTTTACATGCATGATGAAGACATTTTGATTGTCTTTTACTTGAAGAAATGCTACTAGCAGTCCTATTTTTTTAAGTAGTAAGGTAAAATTGTCCCTGTGCATAATTAGTTAAGCACACCACCATAAAGATGGCGGGGGAGATACCTCCGCATTCTTGACCTCGGCATTAATAGAGATCGGTGGAAATTAATTGTGCAATTCCGTGAGCAGAGCACTGTATTTATATGCAATGCCATCATCAGTAATTGTACCAACAGCCATCCATGAGCTAGCACCTCATTTGAAAATGGCGGCATAGTTAATATCTGTGGATGCTACCGCCACAGAAATACGGTAATCCGTGGACATGCCAGTAGTGCCAGTAGCAGCCAATAGCGGTGAACGCGGTGAATACATTGCGTGATGTTCCCTGATTCTCTGATGTAGTGTGTAGTTGTCTGTAATGGTACGGTCTGTTCGGCGATAGTACGTTAACATTTAATAGCGGTACACTACATAAGGTCTTCTCGGTGTTTCAAGTGACTTACAGTAAGTGTGGAATTATCTGTACTTGAATTGTGAAAATACATAGTGCCTATTGGACGTATTATTGTATGGGACGCCAGTTGTGAGAGAAACTAACCTCGAAGATGCCAAAGTATTATTGTGATTACTGTGACACTTACCTAACTCACGATTCTCCGTCGGTACGGAAAACACACTGTCAGGGCCGAAAACACAAAGACAATGTGAAATTTTATTATCAAAAGTGGATGGAAGAACAGGCACAACATCTTATTGATGCAACTACTGCAGCTTTCAAAGCGGGAAAGATAGCATCTAATCCATTTGCCTCAAACAAAGGAGGTGCAGCAATTCCACCACCAACCAACATGCCTCATGGGGGACCTCCACGACCTCCAGGTCCAGTTCATGGACCTCCTCAGCCTGGCCCAGGTATGATGGGACCTCCAGGCATGCAGATGCCCCATGGACACATGGGACCTATGATGATGGGACCCCACGGTCCAATGCCTCCAATGATGGGAATGAGACCGCCTATGATGGGACCAATGATGCCAATGGGACCTATGGGCCCAATGGGTCCTATGAGGGGACCTCCTTTACTAGGTGGACCAATGGGACCTCCAATGAAGAAGTAGACACATGTAGAAGTATAGACTTATATAATCTCGATTATATTTCAGAATTCAGTCGGACGTTTATTTAATATTCTAGGTTTTTAGTCATTTCAAATGACTGTTAACTTTAAATTTTGTACTTCATTGCAGTAAATAAAGTGTAAATTTGCTAATACATTTTGTTACTTGTTTATTCTTTTCAACTGAATTACCTGCCTAATGTAAACATGCAAAGTGAGTGCAAAAAAGTAGTTAATTGTGGTCAGTGAAAGTAGTTCATTGCAAGATTTGAAATTGTTGTCTGATCAGTGTTATATAGAAGTGAGTTTTAAGAACTCTTGGTACCATTTATTTGTGCGTTTTGTATATTAGCCATGAAATTTGCATACTGAAGGGTGTATATACTTACAATGCCATACTAATTTATTCATGCAGTTTTATGAAGTGTTGAGCTTACTTGATCACCCATCTTGGCCAGAAATCAAGATTAAATGTATACTGGTTTTCATCTGACCAAGTGATGGATTGTAGTGATTTAATCTTGTACTGCTGGATCTTTTGGATATGATGGTTTAGTTACATATTGGTTAAAGAGTTATGTCAGCATTTATGTAATAAACAGTAAGTTGAAGAGTACTAGCTACAGGGATATAACAATGTGAAGAGGAACATACTACTTCTGTCTTCAGGATTGAAGTGTAAGCCAAGCAAGCAGAGTGCTTCTCACCAGTTTCTTGCTTGGCTTACTCTTCAACCCTGAAGTTGAAGGCACTGCATTCCACCAAATCAACTTTAGACTTCAACCAGACTACATGCCATTATATCCCATAAGACAGTACTATTTACAGTTCATTCATTTCATTCTTTTATTAATCCTGTAGATCATGATACAATGATATAGGACAAGTCTTTCAGCTTTTATACATTATATACTATATATTTCTGCTTATATGAGTAGCCAATATTCGAGAATTCATCATTCAATTCAATTCAATTTTATTTCATCCATGGATCATTATACATGATATGGGACAAGTCAAAGATTAATATTAATACTAATACTAAATAATAATAAGTATATAATAATACAGAAATAATATGACAATATAATAATA